TCTCTCTCTCTCTCTCTCTCTCTCTCTCTCTCTCTCTCTCTCTCTCTCTCTCTTGGAAGTATAAAGGTACTTCAAGGTTTATAAGCATGTTAAAAATAAACTGTTGCACTGAAAAATGAATTATGATCTCCAAACAAGTTGTAGAGGAAATGTGTCCTTTATCTAGAGGTATCTGTGTTTAAACGTTACCTTATTTACTAAAGAAAAAATAGTCATGCAAAACTTAGGAATTGTATTTTTTTAGACCATAACAGTGATTTTATTAGCTATTTTTTTTTGTGATGTAAAATCCGAAAAGCGGATCAACAAAATGTGGCACAAAATGCGGCAGCAACATAAGCAGAAGAAATCTTATTTTTTTATAAAGTTGTTGTGCATCACTTTATGCAGATGCACAGCTTTTTCTTTTGTGAGGGGAGATTGTAAGCAGATAAAATAAGCTTTATCATATGTTTTATTCATTTTTTTCCCACCAGAGACAGTCCCTCTTGAGTAGAAGATATGAACGCACATCAAAGAAAGGGTCAGTACCTGGATATCCCAGCTTGATGATCCATATAGATAGAAAATGCTCCCTGATAAAYGTGTCTCCTGAGGTGTGTGGTCCTGTGCCAATGTACTTTGTTCACTTCAGGCAGGATTGTTTTAGGAAGATGAAGTATTTTTGGCAAACATGTTCTGTTAATTTTTCTTTGCTTTTTTTCACATGACTTTAATAGAAATGTGTTGAGATTTTCCATAAACATACAAGCAGTGTCAGATGAAAATCAATTTGCATTTGATTGATCTCGTTTGGACAGAGATCTTGACATGATTATGATGTTTAATATACATTTTTAGGTCACGCACAGGGCTGAAACACAAGAATGGGATGACATTGAGTAAGAGTTGCTGCATAAAAATATGTGATTCACCAAGATGTCACTCTTCTGCTTAGAATCAGGACTCTTGCTTCAAATGTCATCATTTATCATTTTATGAGGCGGAAATAAATCATGCCACTTTGCACATGAGTCCCCCCCACACACACATATACTGTATATTTTTACAATTTGGGAGTAGCTGTGGTACAGTTGGGTGGTGCAGTGGTAGAAGACGTTGCATTCTATAAAGGAGGTCGCAGGATTTGCCAGCCTTATTTATAAGAACTCTGAACTTTTACAGCAGATGTTTTAGTGAGCTGTATGTAAGAAAACAGCAATATGCTTTTTTATATACAGTATAAATATTTCGAAAATTTGCACTTGTTTAAACTTAGTCATTTTCCACCATTTGGTAAATAAATAAAGAACAATGGAAATGAGATCATCACTACTGGCTTGGAACATATTGCATACTGTACATGTTAACGTTTTTGGTAAAAATTAAAAAAAGAAGAAGAAAGAAGTCAGTTTTAAAAAAAGAAGAAGAAAGAAGTCAGTTTGGCCAAGACAGAGTTTCTACTGGAGTGTGACATTTCAACTAGTGCTAGCGCTTTCAATCAGAAAACATAATAATTCATCAGTAAGTTGTGCCAGTCAGGACCAAGGCAAACTGATAGACATCCTGTGAGTTCTGCAGCAATCTATATCTTTCCTTTAGCGTTTTCCTCCCTGTTCATGCGTGAAAGAATCCATCGCTCTGCAGACATCTCCTGCCACCACGGCTCTGCCTGCCTTCAAAATTTCAACATTTAAACACTTTAAAATAGTACAGATGTCCTCATTTAACACATTAACCGCAGCCATTTGTGACCTTTTAATCAAACCCCACGTTTCGTTTACAATGTGCTCAGTTGGGAGTGAGCAAAATGTGTCTCTCTTCCACGGTGTGCAGTCGGGGAAAACGACTCTAACATCTACAAGCTGAAGTAAAGACACTGACCTTCAAACAGAAGAGCTGAGTTGTCAGCTTGGCTTAGAACCTGTTAAAGATGTATGAAAGTCAACATGGTGCTGGGAAGGGACTTTTTTTCTACTGAGCAGGGTGACAGAGTAGAGATATTTTGGAAAAGGTCACATCAGCTACATCATTACCCCCTGAGGGTGTGTCAGAAAGGTGTGCATCAACCTGCCCAGAATAGATGCCAGAATTTATATATTTTTCTCATACGCCCAAGCAGACACAATTCAGTGAAAAAAATTGTGGGTCTCTCTTTTTATTCTTTTTTTTACTCTCTTTCTCCCTCTCTCTTTTTTTGTTCTGTGTGAGTGCGAGTGCATCTACCGTAGTATCTGACACTCTCAGGCAGCCAGTAGCACGGCTCAGTTAAAGAGATGACTTGTTCACTGGAGCGTGGTCTGTCTTGTGCTGACACATGCACACACACACACACACACACACACACACAAACACACACACACACACAAACACACACAGACACACAGACACACACACACACACACACACACACACACACACACACACACACACACACACACACACACACACACACACCCACACACACACACACACACACACACNCTCTCAGGCAGCCAGTAGCACGGCTCAGTTAAAGAGATGACTTGTTCACTGGAGCGTGGTCTGTCTTGTGCTGACACACACACACACACACACACACACACACACACACACACACACACACACACACACACACACACACACACACACACACACACACACACTATTCAGCTACTAAGGCCTCCAAGATACACTTTTCTAAAGGGTAATTTTTGTAAAGGCTAACCAAGAGTGGAAAATGATCACACAATGAAGCCAGTAAATCTCAGACACAAAGATCATTACTTGTTTATACAAAAATACTATTGACCTAAAAAGCAAGTGAGAAAACAAAACAAATTTAAAAAAAATTCTCATGAAAACTTTCTGGCGCTATTTGAACTGCGTTCTTTACTTTCTTACAGCACGTGTTGCTATGAAGAATAGCTTTTAATTACCTGGATGACTCCAGAAAATGAATATGAGGAGCTGCTTAAATTTGTCAGCCAGAACATTWTATTATTGTATTTAGGTGAATTGTTTCTTTACTCCTAAAGCTGCCTTACTAGACCAAATTAAATTCGTTTTTCTTGAAAGAACAATGGTGCATCATGTTTATTTTAGCACATTAACTTCTTGGAGAATTATTTTACTTAAGAAATAGCCACAATACTTCTGACCTTGGTGATTGCTACCTTCAGAATTTAGAATTGATTATATATTTTTATTTCAATAAGCTGTTCTATTTTCTTTTTCTCAACACTAAAACATATCTTCTTTGTTTCCCCTCCTCCATTTATTTATTTCTTCTTTCCCATCACTCCCCTCAGATTTATGGCCAACACGTCGTTCGAGGGCCAGAGCGGCTTCATATCCAGGCAAAGCCTCACTCAGAACATCGTCTCGGAGGCTCATCATTACATCTGGTCCCTCCAGCTGGACCCTCTCGGTCAGCCAACCTGGACCCGCCTGGGACGCTGGCGCAGGGGGAGAGTTCTGATGGACCAGAGGGCCTGGCCAAGTCATCGCGGCTCCGGAGGTGCGGGCGACTGGCGCCGGTCGACACGCTTGCACATGCGGGTGGTGACGCTGGTGGAGCACCCGTTCGTGTTTACCCGCGAGGTGGACGGGGACGGGATGTGCCCAGCGGGCCAGCTCTGTTTGGACCCGCTCACTAACGAAACCTCAGTTCTGCATAGACTTTTCCAGAACCTTGGAGGGCCCAATGGATCTGTTCCCACAGACCTGAAGAAGTGCTGCTATGGCTACTGCATTGACTTGTTGGAAAAGCTGGCAGAAGACATTGGATTTACTTTTGACCTCTACATTGTTGGCGATGGGAAGTATGGTGGGTTCAAGAATGGTCGCTGGACAGGATTGGTGGGGGATCTGCTGAGCGGTGCGGCCCACCTGGCGGTGACATCATTTAGCATCAATTCAGCGCGGAGTCAAGTCATTGACTTCACATCTCCCTTTTTTTCTACCAGCTTGGGGATTCTGGTCAGTACTACCTTTTATCAATCTTTTTTTTCTTTRATCGGCAGATTATTTTTCAAATGTTTTTCCTCCTCTTCTTATTTCCAGTGGTGGGCAGCGCCAATCCAAAACTTAGCCCCGCAAATTCTAAACTGCTTATGAAAATATTTAGGTCCGCAACTTACAAAGCTTAGCACTTATGCCATAGAAAAAATAGCAGAAACTAATTTTAAAGCCCAAGTTCAATTTGACACTTACTAGCTGGCAACAGTCCATGTACAATATATGCACAACACTGCCAACTAGTGGTGTAAGAACTCTTTTATAGCTTATTCCTACAACTGCCGATTGCTGGGGATGTGATTTCCTGAAACAGAACTTTAGCTCCTGGTGCAAAAATTAAAAAGTTGTTGAGGATTGCTAGTTCGGCTGCTTMTTTGTCTTTTTCTTTTGTTTGTTGTAGATTTTACATTATTTAAGCATCAGTGAAGTAATTTTAATACTCTTTATTGGAAAACTGAAGCAATGCATTCTGGGTACATGACAGATTTGATTTGTGATGGGAAACGAAAGCACGGAGTACAGGAAACTATCTTCACTTCAAAATAAGAGCTTGGATTTTAAAGTTTYCCATGTAGTTGCTCCAGTTGACCACTAGATGYCAGTTTTCATCAGCATAACATCTTTAAATCATTTCTGTGTCTCTAACCCCGTTGGCCGATTGCTTCAACCAATTATGTCAAGTATTGAGCTCCAGCGTTTAAACTTTTTTTAAAACAAAGAAGCTCCGATTGTAAAGTAAAATAAATCAATACATACAAAATTTTAGTATGGATTACAAACGTTAACTGTTTTAGCTGGGACAGGGAGTTCTAAACACTGCCTTCCTGCTGCGTAAGCAGCCACAAAGCATTGTGGGAAATGAGAACCCTGACCGAAAGCAACAGTCAGCAAGGATGTATACTTTCCCAATAAGTGTGCTTATCTGGGAGGGGTGCTGTTTGATAGATCACATTGTGATTCATTGACAGCCATACCTTCCGCTGTTCAAGATAATGATGACTGATAGGTAATTAGTTATTAGCAGTACTGCTTTTTAATTTTAAAAAGCGCAAATCTGCTTATGAATTATAAAAATTAGTAAGACCGCTAAAGCGCAAACGAAATTTTTAGGTCCGCAATTAGCGAATTTATGCTTTAGCGGGCTGGTGCCCACCACTGCTTATTTTTAATTTCCATCCCTTTTTGGCCCACCTCTCTTTGCTGTGTGTCATTGACCTCCCATAAGCTCTGTCTGCTTGGTATGCTGGTGGTCACTATCAGTGTGTCAGAGTTGTATTACTACGAGCCCTTACATTATTGGACTCTAATGCAATCCCTAGTGTGGGGCTGCTCTCTTGAGTGCACAGCATTGTGAGGTGACCCTATTATAACTATTACTATACTATGTCTCACCATCTGACAGACATAGTGATGGTAGTAATCATTCTCTCCGTTCTTCCTTCTATAGATTGCAACTGCAGAGGTAAAAGTTCTGCTTCACTTACAGTAAATGTCTGTCGTAGTTTTGTCTTTAAATTGTCCCCTTTTCTCTCAGATTTCACTGTATCTGCTTTAATATGCACTATTTTCTTGTCCGAATTTCTTTATTTTTTTCAGCACTAAGTAAACATTTGATGTCAACATATATCTGGAAATTTAACGTTTGTAAATGCTCTCCCTACTTGTGGTCTCTCCTGCCCAGGTACGTACTCGTGACACGGCCGCGCCTATCGGTGCCTTCATGTGGCCCCTCCACTGGTCCATGTGGCTGGGCATTTTCGTCTCCCTCCACGTCACTGCCATCTTCCTCACCCTATATGAATGGCACAGCCCCTTTGGGATGACGCCCCGCGGACGCAACCGGGACCGCGTGTTCTCCTTCTCTTCGGCACTTAATGTGTGCTACGCCATCCTCTTTGGGAGAACGGTGGCCATCAAGCCCCCAAAGTGCTGGACTGGTCGTCTGCTGATGAACCTCTGGGCCATCTTCTGCCTCTTCTGTCTGTCCACCTACACTGCTAACCTGGCTGCTGTCATGGTGGGGGAGAAAACCTATGAGCAACTGTCAGGGATACATGATCCGAAGGTAGAACATAACAAAGAAGTGAAAATAACCAAAGTTAATGCACATTCTTGAAAATGTGCTTGTTTATTCGKTTTTTGTTTGGAAAAAATACCTAAATGAGTCGTATTTTACGTTTATGAATGAATCCTTTTTTTGTCACTCAGTCAGCAAGCATGTTGCACTCTTTATTTACAGTGTTTAAAAAAATATCAATACACTTTTTGTCAGCTTTTCTGCATTTTGTTACAATGCAACCATAAACTTCCACATTTTTAAAGGGATATTAAGTGATGGACCAACTCAAAGTTGAGCAAAATTGTTATTGATAGGATGTTATACATGAGTTTATATTAAAGTTGTTCAGGTTGGAAGCCTAAATTATAAGCAGAAAACCAATTAAATTCTCAATTGAATGTTTATTTTTAGGTCTAAAGACTCCATTTGACTCTAAGTCTGTCTGTAGCTTCAGAAGTCCAAACAAAAATGTCTGTGAATCACATGTTCTCATAAAGGCTGTGTCCACTTTCAGTGCTGCATCCTTCGAAGGATGAATTTGTTGGCTGCTTATGTTTCTATGCCACTCCAAAGGCTATATAAATTCAGAGACGATCACAACCCACAAATGTGTCCCACTTTTGCACCGATTTTAGGGACGGGTCCGGTGGATCCTCCTTAACCCACCTTACCCCAAAATGCATTGTGGGCCGACCAGAGATTTATTTTACTGCTTGTAATGGCAGACAAGCAACAGTACCATGGAGTATTAGAGCCACACAATATTATTATTTTTTTTATTATAAGACTAAAGTCTTAATATTACGAGATTAAAGTTGCAATATTATGAGAAATATGTCATAATCTTACATGACATGTCCATTTTCTCTTCCTGAGCTTTTACTAATATCCTAATCATTTTCTGTCTGCTGTGGACAACCATGCATGTCTCTGTTTGTGAAGTAGTCCGCGATTACTTTTGGATAACTGTTAGTGTAAAATGAAATGCTTCCATCGAAATAACGAGACGACTAGATGTGTCAGTGTCAGCCATCAATATGGCTTCAGTTTATCATATGTTCATTTGCACAACCGTTTCAAAGTCCTGCTACTGATTTGATGCTAGTGTGCAAAAAGAACAAGTATTTATTTTAACTGATACTAACGAACAACTTCACAAGTTGCTCGGCATTCCTCATTTTAATGCAGTGGTAAAAGGTTTAATCCCATAATACTAGAAATATATTTTTATGATATCATGACTTTTTTCTAGTAACATTATGACTTTATTCTTTTAATAAAAATAATACTAATAATCTTGTTGTGTGGCCCTAATGCTCTGTTGTACAACATACAGGACTCCAGTTGTAAATAAAAATATGGCAAGACAATATTTGAAGGTTTAAAGTGGTGGTGCTAGGCTTTTTTGTCATTTGCACATGTTTATGTTAATGTTTATTAATATTATTCTTGTCAGAAATCATCTGAAACAAGCTTATATGGCAAGTACCTTGTTTTTATATGTATTGCCTCTAAGCTACTTTTGTTAATTCGTAATTTTAATATTTATATATTAATATTTTACTAATTTCAATCTATAATCAATCTTAATTGCTTCTGTGTAGTGTTGTTACGGCTGCTAGGTGACAGGACATACGCCGAGGCWGGGGTGGGATTAAGGCTGAAGGCTAGACCGTCCAAATTCACATCCTCTTACTTCTGGTTGACAAAGGATCTGGCCCACATAGACCGGGTAGGCCGGTTGCTTCAAAGGACGCAACCCCTGAATTTGAACCCAGATGATATTTATTGAAATCCTGGTGACACCTACTGGGGCTTGGTCCCTCTTAAGTCAGCATTGGAATGCCAGAAATGTAAATGTTATTCTTACACTGTTGGAATGCATTTTGATACGTGGCTCATTCTGTTATTGTAAATAAATCCATAAAATGACTTAATTTGTTTTGTTGGTTACAACAATACAAAAATATTTGGTTTGAATCCTAATTTTATGTCATTTTAATGAGGAATATTTGATGTCCGTATAAAGAGGAAACTCATATTATATTTAAATATTGAGATTTCCCAGCTAGAAAAAAACAAAACTTTGCTAGCTCACAGGGAAAATCTCAAAATTTTAAGGCGTTATTCCTCAAAATCAGGTTTTTTGTTGCTACTGCTCAAAAAGTGTTTTAGTTTTATGATTATATTTCAGAGAGTTCATTCAAATGATACATTGATAAGGCATTTATTCATTATATTTTGACAAAATGCAACTTTTGTTAACATTTTAGTCAAAACACTATATTTGTCTATTTCTCCATATACMACTTTTGGACTTAATCCTCGTTTCGATGTGTTGGGTCACATATTATAATTTTTATTTAATCATTTATTTATTTATTTATTTTTTTCAAATAAAAATTTGAAAACAATGTATATTCTGCCACCTTTACTCCAAAGCTTGTAACTAAAGTCCAGCGCAAACAGTTCATTAAAAAGTTACCTAATAAATAGATTCAAATTGTGTACAGTTGAAGTCTAAATGATGTTGTTCTGTGAACGCCTCAGGTTTTATTGAGCTATTTAGCAAAGAATGGGCAGAAATTTCAGTCTCTAAATATTTAAAGCTGGTAGAGACATACTCAAAAGGACATGCAGCTGAAATCAGAGAAAGGTGGTTTTACAAAGTATCCACTCTGAGGGCCTGACTGCAAATGCACCCCAAAATGTTTTACATTTGTATTTGTAAAACAAATTATAAAAGTGGACAATATCACAATCTTTCACCTCACAACTCTGCACTGCATTGTGTTCATCTATCAGAAAAAAAAAAGTCTCAGGAAAATACTTTGAAGTCTGTAGTTGTAACATGGCAAAATGTGGAAAACTGCAAGTGGTTATGAATACTTTTTCAAAGCACTGTATTCTTTAATTAACACACCAACGTTTGGATAATTGAGCCAAGCTATTTCATTATTTTCCTGAAATACAGGAAGTACAGAGAGTCAGCAGGTTCAAGGCGAGAATGAACGAAATGAAAGAACGGATCAAAAACAACTAAGAGAAATGATGAGCAATTCTAGCTATTGTAAAAATCTTGATTTCTTTCGTCTTCCCTGCAGTTGCACCATCCCTCTCAGGGGTTCCGCTTTGCTACAGTGAGAGAAAGCAGCGCTGAGGACTATGTCAAGAAGAGTTTCCCAGAGATGCACGAGTATATGAGAAGATTCAATGTCCCAGCAACACCAGACGGCATACATAACCTCAAGTAAGGCTATAAGACAAACAGGGAAAACATGCATGTCCAGGCCAGACATCCAAATCAGAAAGATTTTTTTTACTAAACTAGAGTGTGCTGTCATATTTTCTTTTTAGTAAATATCCAGYAACTGAGGCTTCTTTTTGTCGTTATTTTTGAAAAGTAGATGTTTTTTTCCTCAGAAAAAGAAAGTGCATCGTCCTTGATAAAAGAGAAAATGGATGTGCACGGCSAAGAAAAGTCAACATTTTTTAAAGAAAAAAAGTAGAAAAAAAACATTTCATTCCTGTTGCTGTCAGTACCCACCACAGGCCTGTCTGTTTGCATTCAGATCCCACTCTCCTTACCCTGCCACTGCTGTCATGGTAAGCTGCTTCAACATTCAACTGGCAACCCCCATGGTGCAGAGCAGGAAATAGTGAGAAAAGGCAGGTGGATTACAGGTTAAAGCAAAGACACTATTTGAAGGACTAAAATATGTTCTCTGAGCTTACTAAAAACTAATTAAAAGGCTGAAGGAATGATGTCATCTTTAGGGAATTATGGCTTGGCATCAAGACAATTTGCTGCAGAACATCCCCTCACTGAGCCATGCCTAAACATAGACAAAAAATTACAGTTATTAGATTTTCTTATGGTTTCAAAGGACAATCAATGTTTGTATTTAAAGAAGGTAGAATCTTGATTTGTAACTGATAAAAAGTAGATACCATAGCAGTAGCATATATGATCCCTGCATGTACGCAAAGCACCATCAGAACAGATTTATTGTTTTGGATGTGTGTCCAGAGGGGATTGGGGTGGGGGGTGTTCATTGGTGGACCCAATGGACAGACCTTCATCAGAGCTAAACAAAATGTAAATCTGATGCTCCCATATTGAATAGTTTTATGATTTGTAAGCATTTTTGTATGTCCAGAAACCACCTTTTTAGATGGAGCCCCCTCCTCTAATTTGGGGTCTATCAAAAAAACCGTTGGCTGGCTCAGTGTAGGTTGGACATATCTACATTCATGCCAAATTTCATGTTGATTGGTGCAGCCGTTTCCATTCTACGGTTTACCAAAAATCACTGAAAAATAATTAACATACATAGACAAAAAATAAACCATCCATCCATCCATCCATCCATTTTCTTCCGCCTATCCGGGGTCGGGTCACGGGGGCAGCAGCTTCAGAAGGGAGGCCCAGACCTCCCTCTCCCCAGCCACTTCTTCCAGCTCCTCCGGGGGAACTCCAAGGCGT